CATATCCCCACATATTCATTTCCCACATATTCATATCCCCACATAATCATATCCCCACATAATCATATCCCCACATATTCATATCCCCACATATTCATATCCCCACATATTCATATCCCCACATATTCATTTCCCACATATTCATATCCCCACATAATCATATCCCCACATAATCATATCCCCACATATTCATATCCCCACATATTCATATCCCCACATATTCATATCCCCACATATTCATGATCCTTACATTGGTCCGCTTAGCTGGGAAGGCTGTCTTAGCAGGCTCCACTGACCAAAATGAATCAGATACTACTGAGTTCCTTGTTAGTAAGATACGTATTATATTTAATTGATGATAAGTTCAGTTCATGATATAAAAATGGTGTCGATAAGTCACAATAACGTGGCTAAAGATATGATGACTACATCGCACACCAGGAAATGAGGGAATAATGACGTTTTGGTCCGTGCTGGGCCATTATCGAGTCAGAATAAGGGTCTTAGACAACTATTGGGGGGCCAGGACGGACCGAAACGTCGACGTTTCTTCATTTTCTGATGTGTGGTTTGGTTACTTTGGTGTATGGAGGGTTCTGTTTCAATGTAGGGTTTGTTTCAATGGAGGGTTGCTGTTTCAATGGAGGGTTCTGTTTTAATGGAGGGTTGCTGTTTCAATGAAGGGTTGCTATTTCAGTGGAGGGTTCTGTTTCAATGGAGGGTTGCTGTTTCAGTGGAGGGTTTCTGTTTCAATAGAGGATCCTGGAGCACAGTTTGGATGCCATAATTTTTTGTTATTTTATTTTGGGAAGCAAAGGTGATGGAGAGGTGCAGCAAAAGATGCTGTAGAAATTAAAATATAGTGTGAGCCATGGAACAACTCGCTGTTTGAATATCACCTCCAGAAAGACTACGTTGTTTGGGTACCACCTCATGGAACACTGCGCAGTTTGGGTACCACCTCGTGGAACACTGTGCAGTTTGGGTACCACCTCACGGAACACTGCGCAGTTTGGGTACCACCTCATAGAGTTAAATTATAACCCAACGGGTACAACAATGCCAGTGGGAGAGGCATTGAGAGCTAGAGACCTCACTTCCACGCAGTCAGTGATAGAAACATACTGATAGGTAAGTACCCCGTCCCTCTCCCATGCCACTTCTCCCTTCCCTTCCACACCACCCCACCCTTCCCTTCCCCTCCACCCCTCCCTCCCCTTCCCAACACCCCTCCCTCCCAGGATCACGCTGGAACGTGTGAGCGTCTTCATCTTATTACCCCAAGAGAGATGGCTGGTCACGACGCCTCCGCCCCCCCTTCCCTCGCACTTTCCCCTTCAGCCTCCATCACTAATACCGTCTGAAGGGTAGCCGGAGGTCCTCCTCGAGCCTCCTCCGGAGGTTCAGGGGCTCTGGCGATCCTTCCCTGGATTGCTAACACTCTTTGTGACCCTTGTAAGTAATGGAATGCGGAAGGGGTGAGTTTGGATGGGGGTGGTGGTGGGAGGGATGAGTTTGAAGTGGCTAGTGGAGGAAGATGCGAGTTTGAAAGGGGTGATGGAATGGGTGGAGGGTGATTCAGGCTAAGGAAGTTGAGAGTGGAGGGGGAATTAATGGTGTTGGTGGTATTAGTGGTGGAGATGATGAGGTAGGTGGTGAGAGTGGTGGTTGTGATGGTGGAGGGGTGGTGGCGGTGGTTGGTTTGATGGTGGAAAGGGTGGTTGAGGTAGTTATGATGGTGGTGAATGGATGATGACCAAGTCCTAGAACTTCCCAAGGTAACCTGGTCATTTGCGTTCATATTAGTCAAGTCTTCGACACGTCCACATCTCCACATTTCTAACATTTCAATTGACTGTTAATTGTTCTGACTTCATTTAATATCTTCAAGAACCTATGTATGCCCCTTCCATAATAACGAAGGATCAACGTCGATACAACGTTAATACAACGTTGATCCAACCCAGAATCAATATTGATTCAATGAGAATATCAGTAAGAGCCACGAAGATGATTCGAACCTGTACACTGGATTCTCCCAAGCACAAGCCCTAAGCCACTAAGCCACGATATGCTAAACAATAATATAACCTGGGATTCATCTTCTGATCTCATATCAGAATCAGAAGATGCCTTAAGAACCCTAGACGACTCAGCTGAATCCCAGGTTATATTATCTTTACCATATCATGGCCTAGTGGTTTAGTCCGTGTGCTTTGAACTTACCCACCGAGTACCCAGTTCGAATCCTCCTCATGCACCTACTGATTTCCACATTGATACATCACGTTAATGTGATTTCTTTGTGCATTGATTTAATGTTACATCAACGTCGTTAGATCAGACTTGCTAAGGTAGAGGGGGAGGGGGAGTTTATGTATGTATTCGCCTGTCTTCTCTCTCACTGCTCTAGTTCTCCCAGGAAAGCTCCACCTTAATGTTCTCAACTTGATAAGGCAGAGTCCTGATACTGGTGGTGACAGAGGCGGTCCCAGAAGGCGTTGCGACATCAGAAATAAACGGTGGATGAAAGAGCTTACCGAGAAATCATAAAGAGCCCTGAGAACTATAGGGGAATGGCGGGACTTTACCGGGAGATTACATGTGGCATTGGTACAGGAGCAAAGGCTACAGTGACACGAAGACAATGTTGGTGATTATAATGTTTCGTTGAAAATGATGTGAAAACTGTTGGGGTATAGAACACTGCATGACCGCAGATGTGTCTGCCTGGGGCAGTGTGGCGGCAAGAGCCAGGGGCAGTGTGGCGACAAGAGCCAGGGGCAGTGTGGCGGCAAGAGCCAGGGGCAGTGTGGCGGCAAGAGCCAGGGGCAGTGTGGCGGCAAGAGCCAGGGGCAGTGTGGCGGCAAGAGCCAGGGGCAGTGTGGCGGCAGGAGCCAGGGACTGTGTGACCAAGAGCCGGGAGGTGCAGTGTGTGGGGCCGGCCGGACGACCAGCTTGGAATGATCCGTCATGTGGTCCCAGTTTGACAGTGGGGTGTGACACTCATCATTGTGGCGGTGATGGAGTGATCACCAGCTGGCCCTCGGTTTACCCCTCACCGAATATGCCGCTTCTATATTACACTTGAAATATGTTATGGTACTTAAAGCGTGCATTATCGTGCCGGAAGGGTTCAAACACCTTACATTGTACTCAACAGATATCATTATGCCGGAAGGGACAACCCGGATTGTATGGCATTCAACAGCCCGTGTGCCAAAAGGGTCGAAATGTACTTTACGTTACCGAACAAGCGGCTTAATCATATCGAATGAACCAACATGAATTATATAACAGTGCCTCACTGGTATACTATTGTGATAAAAGGGTTAGATAAATACATAGTTACATGTCATCGTCCTCAGTAAGTTATCAAACAATCTTCATCGTGACTCCAGATTAACACAAACATCAAAATACTGTGGGTAATATTAACTACTTAAGGGTCATATCAGCGTGCCGGAGAGAGGGTTCCAATTCGTCTTACTTAGCGGCCAATTCATTTCAATCGGAAGGGATCGTTTACAGCAGTTGGCGATGAGTGGAGAGTAACCCACCTGGGAGAGGAAGGGATAGCTATCCTGGGAAGGGAAGAGAAGTGAAGGGAAGGGAAGGGTAGCCCGCCTGGGAGAGGAAGAGGAAAAGGCGACAGTAGGAACGAAGGGGGATAGGAAATGTGAAAGAGGGTGAAGAGAAAGGAACACCGGGAAATCATCGGAGCACTGATAACTACGAGGGGGGGGGGGGGTACAGGGCATGAATACATGCCCAGTGGGCACGATAACCATTCAACATTACTCTTGTACATTGTGCCCACATTGTGCCTGTTGCTTGCACATTCACCTTCTTGCTCATCCGTCCTGGGGCTCTTTCACTCAACATTGGCTCTGTATTTTCGCTTCTCATCCGTTTTCTGAAACTGTTTTTTCCTAATTTAAGGCTCAACCTCTTGGGCTGGACGGTAGAGCGACGGTCTCGCTTCATGCAGTTCGGCACCCAGTCCACGACCGTCCAACTGGCTGGGCACCATTCCTTTCCCCCGTCCCATCCCAAATCCTTATCCTAATCCCTTCTACTTGCTATATAGTCGTGATGGCTTGGCACTTTCCCCCTGACATTTCTCTCTCTCTCTCTCTGTTGAGGATGCCTATTACTCTTTCCTCTTTCTCCCTGTTCTCTTATCTATTCTATTCCTCGTTTAATCACCCAATCCATCGCTATGCAAGATATCCTAAACCAATCCGACTATCTCGATTCCTTGCACATTGATGGCACAATAGTCCGAACGATCAATCTGAACGAATCTTTTTTTAATGTAGAAAACGTTCCGGGGAAGGCAAATGAGTCTTTTGTACTGTCAGATCCAACTAGAGCGGCCCCTCTCTTCACCCCGCTCTGCAGGGTGTTGAGAGCGAACCTAGGAGGCACCCCTTGGGCCCCTAGAGCCCCCTAGGAGCATTGTATAAGGCTAGGAGCATTGTATAAGGATAGGATCATTGTTGGTACAGCGGCACCCTGTCTAAGGTTCGGAGACGGGTCACCCCTGTATACAGCTCCGAGCATCATTGACAAAGGGGTACCTGGTATAAGGTTCGGAGTAGAGATAACATAGGGACACCTTGTATAAAGTTCTGAGCAGTGTTGACCGCTGGGAAACTCGAAACAGTTCTCAGTACTGCCGGCGAAAGACCGATAGCAGCGTTTATAAATGAAGTGCAAGGACAGGCTATGTATTTTGGGGAGGGGTGCAGTGGGATTTGAAAAGAGAGGGGGGGGGGGGAAGTCAGCAACGTTTATTCCGAAAATTACAACAGTTTTCCCATGAATTGTAATAACATATAGAACAAATCTTATTATATTCTGTTATATTATTTTCACTGACATTAATATTCCAGTCACTGTAATATTCTGTAACTGTGATCTCTCTAATTTCCCTGACTGCCAAATTTGGCTCAAAAAAGAAGATAATTGACAATATGTGCGTTTGTCTGTCGCAGGAGGCGTGCCGGAGGCCGGGCAGGAGGAGGGAGGAGTGGCGCCAGAGATTGTAGAGGAGCCCTCAGAGGAGATCGTCCGTCGAAACGATCCCCTCACACTCTACTGCAAGGCTTCAGGAGCTCCCCAACCCAGGATACTGTGAGTCCCTCACACGCACACACACACACACACACACACACACACACACACACACACACACACACACACACACACACACACACACACACACACACATATATCGAATAAGGGTCGAAAGGCGGGACTCGGTAACCGGAGCTCATCCTGGTGTTCCTGGAGCCGTGGATGTGTTTCTGGAGCCGTGGATGTGTTCCAGGAACCGTGGATGTGTTCCTGGAGCCATGGATATGTTCCTGGTGCCGTGGATGTGTTCCTGGTGCCGTGGATACAGGAAAATACAACTTGGCAAGTACTGGCTCCATGACGGGACAGCTTTCCTGTTGTGCTCCCAGTACAGACGAGCCAGAAAAGTCCCACCAAATGTGACTTCGTGTCACAACACAGTCGCAATACGTAGGAGTGCCGGACTCCATCAGAGTTTGGTCAGCCAGGTGTCAGACTCACTCAGGGCCGTGGCGGAGAGTTGACTTGTCTACGGTCGGGCAGGACCACCTAGATGGTTCATCAACTGACGTGGCAAATGGCTAATAATGGTTCTATTTGTGTCGGGATGTTCAATGTGGTTGTGGTGTGGAAATATGGTGGTCTAGCGATGGTGTGGTTGATGTGGAGGTGTAGCGGGGAGGATGATGGTGTGATGCAGAGGTGGCCAGGTTGTGTGCCGATGATCTGGTGTTAGTTTGATGGTATGATGAATTGTAATGAATGTGCAGCATTATGTTAATGCAGTGAGTGCTCTTAGGATAGAGCTGGTGATTGATTGATTGATGAAGATGAAGCCACCCAAGAGGTGGCACCGGCATGAATAGCCAGTAAAAGAGCACGGGCATGAATACCCCGTATTACGTGCTATTCATGCCCGTGCCACCTCTTGAGTGGCTTAATCTTCATCAATCAATAGCCCGTAAGAATAGAGGTGGTGTAACACTTGTGTTATTAGGGGTCAGAGTGTAGCCGGGGTGTACTACAGGTGGTGTAGAGGAGGTGTTCTGGCGGTGTAACACTATTATCACACGTCAAGATGTCTCGCTATACAAGAAATTATATTAAAACTACATAAACCACTTTTCCAACTGCTTCGCTTTCATACACTTACTCTGCCTCCTTCTCCTTTACACACGCACTCCATCCCTCCCTCACACACTCTCCCTCCCTCCACTCCCACAGCTGGTACCGGACGGACTCCGAGGTGCCGCTGCGTGACCGGGACAGCCGCCTGCAGCTGCCTGACGGGTCACTCTTCTTCTACCGAGTGCGTGGACGGGACAGAGGGACCTACTACTGCGTCGCCCGCAGCCCCGCCGGCACCGCCACCTCCAGGAGGGTCAACGTCCAGATGGCCT